GTGGAATTCCTGACCCTTGGTAGTTGGTTGTGACAAGTCACACACGGAATATATTGTATGTGTTGGTGTATGGTGTACCAATAACGGCTATAATATACCTGAATCGGGTACTACGCGTCTGAATAAAATACTACATTTTATTTTATTATTGCTGCTGTAATTGTTGTTGTGTGCACACGAGTGTAGGAGCTGCCGCGCTACCCTGCCACAACGCTTTAGTAATGGCAATGGTTACAAAATAAATCGTCTGCTTTGAAGTGAGACGCATCGCTTTTTCTCCCTTGCGTTGTTATTCATTAAATATATAGGTGTATACTATACGTAGTATAAATACGACGATAATATATACCTTCCCTTTCGTATGACGATTTATACCTTCCCTTTTCAGACCTGGGTTGTATACTCGTATACTGTATAGTTGGTAACAATATTATCAAACTCGAAACATTAGCCACACAGTACATTCAATACGTTTACATGTCACCGTTAAAACTACGGTATTATCTATAATATGATTCCGACTTTTTTGTTTATTTATTGGCGGTAACTTTAATTGATATACACGAAACGCGATCCTGACCCGCCTCTATTTATTATTAATTTATAATATAGTTAATATTAGTTGTATTTCCTATAAACTTATTATGTATATTTTATGTATAGATACTTACGATACCGCACTACCGTAGAGTTATGTGAATAGGCTAGTGGACAATCATGGTAAAAAAAAATAGTTAAAAATAAGTCTAAATATTTTGAAAATCTTATTACGGTTAGAAAATAATGGTAAAAACTTTCTAGACAGATAAAAACCTAGAATAAAGATTCATAATGAACCATTTATTTAAAACATTCGTTAGGTACACAAATATTTTCTTAGTACATTTTTAATTATTTAAGTATCACCGTTGAAAATATATATCAGTAATTTAGTAATTTAGTAATTTAGTAATTTAGTAATTCAATGATATTACCATATGTAACAAAAGAATTGCGGAAAAAAAATCCCCAGCATATTTCATACATATTATATAAGATATAATAGAAATAAAATAAATATTGTATATTATTTTAAAAATTGGTATTTTATAAAAAAATTGCCTTTTACCATATATTAATATATATGTTAAAACTTAAAAAAAATGCATGCATGTAGTGTATATATGATTATATTACCTATTCAGCCACGAACTTATAATAATAATAAAATATAAATTAAAATGTTATGCGATTATAATATTATAATATTATTTATCTACGTCGATTATAGGATGCGTGCTATCTACTTTCTACTATCTTGTTCCAGAACTGAAACGAAAAACAACGAATTGGTCAGTTGGAATTACATTTTGATCGCGTTTATTTAGAGTATATACTGTTGAAAATGCCGAAAGTTTAACCATCGTGGCAAACATTTTATACACAATACACATCATATAATATAATACAYGTAGGTATAGGTACATTTAGTAATATTGTTTGGGACAATAAATGTATTTCACTGTGATAGTATTTAATTTATAGTTTGTTTAGAAAAAACTACCTAACGAATTKCAATTCAGTATAGTAAGTTCATAACGTAGTGATAAAAAATTTAAATACCTATACACTCAATGATCATTTTTATACCTCACAAATTACTCATACAAAATAATTTTATATTATTTAATTGCGTTGCGCACCTTTGTTCTTTAACCATTTTAAACTAAATATATMATAAATAATAAACCCACTTGGCTTAAAATGAATCCCTCCAGTAAAAATATCGTAATATTTTTTACGATATTATATGTGTTCACTAAAATTGTCTTAAATTTAGGTATTCACTAAACCCTTATATATATACACTATACAGCCATATATTATTATTTTATCAATCTAAATATTTATTTTTAGCAACTTACTACGATCATTAATATGTATATTTTATACGCAATAAATTTGTTATATACCTACCTACTTGGCTACTTATATCTAACGACTTGGAGAGACATAATAACACAATATTATAAGTTASTTTGACAATTCGAGTATGTAGTCGTTTATAGTTATCCATGTATACAAACACAAACTCATACGTAAAATAATAATAATAATATATGTATATGATATGGTTCTGGTTTTATAATTATTAACTGGTTATGTCACGTGTGTGTGTGTGAGTATTTCTGTTGACAAATTGTTGTGTGACAATAGAARGAATAAGGAAAGAGGTGAGTTTATTATAATAATTTTCCTCTCTGTTTACTATTATCAAATAAAAATGTCATAAAAAAAAATCTGTCACTACATGAAATATATAGGTACTTGCAGAAGAACAGATCACTGTCCAGTTTTTGCACTTTAGAAATCTGTCAAAATATGAAAACCGAAATATAATACGGTGGCGGTTGATATTCACAAAAAAAAAAACGATTAACTCTTATAATCTCTGTCACAAATAAACCGTCCAGTACATAAAAGGTATAGCAACGGTTTTAAAGTAATAATAATGCGAATAATTTATATGTAATTTTCAGTTTTAATATAGTGTATTATACAACACCATTCCATATTGAAATTTGAAACCGAGCGAAGGACGCAATAAAAAAAAAAGTAAATTTTGTACTACCGATTTTGAATCGTATCTATTTTTCTATTATTCGAATAGAATTTATTGCTTATAAAATAACTTGCAATGCGTACCTACGATTTTATTTTAATTAGCTACAAAACACTATAATCTTATATTATATGATGTCGACGCGTAGGATATAGATTGTAGGTACTACTAGGTTGGAATATACTAAAATCAAAACGTAGCAGGTTAAAAAAACTCCCTTTGTATTGTGCACGTTACCGTGGTGAATTAAAGACAGGTGGACCGTAAAAAAAATGTAAAAAAACAGCCCCCTTCGAAATCCCATCGTTTTGGAAGGGGAAAACCTTAAAACGTTCATGGTCTCGCATAACTCTTCATTATAATCATTGTCTACATTGCCGGTTAATAGTCGTCTTTTAAACTTTAGTGGGCGGAATCATGCTCTACAGTATACRAGAACTGTATAAGTATAATAATTTATGCGTGTGTGATAGTAATATTGTGTGCACAGTAATGAAGATACAATAAAATACGATATCTGCCTCCTGTGACAAATAAAACTCATTAATTGTAAAATTTTTTAAACCAATATTATTATTATTATTTATTCGTCAATTATAACAATCATTATTTGTCAAAATTAAAATAATTTAGCATTTCCTATACGAAAATAACTATAGGAAGACTATAATAGTAAAATCTTACGTTTTCTTTTTTTTTAAACAAACCACAGAGATTCAGCTGGAAAACGAAGAATTATTCTTATACAATTACCATTTAAATACATTTTTGACGTAATTTTTATTCATTTCATAAAACCCCACRGCATGCTACTTAGTAATAAATGACATTGCAACAACCCTATTATAGTAGGATGCAATAAAAATATTATCGAGTAGGTAGTATTTTATTTTTATATGAATACCGTGCTCAAATTGCGTTTAAAAAAATTATAAGTGGTTTTTTCTTCGTGAGATTGTCACGTTTTGTATTTTTTTTTTTTTTAACGTTTATATAATGATGTATTTGAAATTAATATTATACTACGTTTGTAATTTTTATTTTAAAAGTACTGATGACAAAATTAGTATCGATAGCTGTTTCAGATGATTTACACAATAAAATCAACTGTGAGACGAAAAACTGTGTAAAATAATGATAAAAATGAAATACATACATTTTACCTTCACTGGAATCCAGTGTTTTTTTTTTTTTTTTTTATCAAAGCCAGACAAACTGTTAAATTATAGATATAATTTTATTTATGAACGCAAACAGTGTTTGTAAAATAACCGATTCATAATAATTCAATAATAATACATCTTATTATCGTTTAATATATACCTACGAGTCCTACATCGTTAGCTCAATCTTGGAATTTAATACTTTTTTTAAACATAGCTGTGGAAATGAATGCAGTAATACGGTATAGTGTATTAGAATATAGTTTTAGATATATGATCTCAAAACAATTATTATATGTATATATATTTTATTATATATATATATTATAAATTATAATATATTTGGTATGATTGTTATAAAATTCCGATTACTATACGTCTATAGTTCTATACCTATTACACGAATTTAGAAATCAATTACTTATTATGCCCATCACTACAAACACACTTCAACTCACAATTATTAAAAATACTAACCAGCATAATAATATAAAACTTTCTATAGTATTATTAATGAATGTCGTATGTCATGGAAAACGATAAATAATATCTAAATTTTAAGTAAATGTTTTTTTTTCATATTATATTTTAGAACTGGGCAGTTTGAACATAATATTAAGGATTTAAAGAAAAGGCAAACGATCAACTGTCTAAATTGGGTGAAAAAATATGAAGGGAATATCATTGGGACCCAACTTCATAAACATTTTCAAACTTATTACAATTGAGTATTATATTGTATAAAGGTGTATTCAAAATAAAATAATATTAAGTTAAATTCAACTATTAATAATTTACTGTTAAAATTAGCGTACGTCTGTATAAGTATAAAAAAAAAAACTTAACCGATAAATACAAAGTCGTTAACACAACACGTTGTTAATTGAAAAATTAAAATAAATATTTAAATGCATGTTAAAAACGTAAGTAACAATCACGCTTTAAATATAAATTATATAATAATTCAATTTATTAATTAAATAAATATATAATATCCGTATTTACGAATGAAAATTATTTTTCCCCATAAAATAGGTACATGCCGTTTATGATATTCACAATTTTACAATCGGCTTTGATATTTAGCATACAATTAAAAAAATATATAATAATACCTACGCCCTATTCATAGATGGACATATATTATTCTTTAAAAACATAATATTATTTTTTTTTTTCGATCAATTAGATTAAAAATCGTTATCATTATTTTATAAGGTATCACAGCAGCTCACCTGTTTTGAGTTTCGTTGGTCTCGTCGACAGCTTTCAGTCTATTATTGCTATCGGGGACATCTTTGCAGATAAGAACCTCGGTAAGACCATTATTGAATGGTGAACTAGGTCTCCTAGATAATTTGGGATCGGATTGTTCGGTTAATTTATTTCCGTTGTCCGGTGGACATGAAGAACCGACACGACCACTGTGTACCTTGTTGTCTAAAAAGTCGTTGAGTTCGGCTGTTGGGTGCAATTGACGCATCAACTAAATACAAATAAAAACAAATTGTAAAAATTATTTTACAAAAAAAAATAAATAAATTGCCTGGCATTAAAACGATGTTGGTATATGTTAACAACTATTCTAAAAATGAACCCGCCTAAATATAAGTGTTTTAATTTAATAAGCCATAACGACAAAATACATGTGTTATTGCTTTTAACAAATTTATAAGCTTATAACTAATGGTTCATACATAGTTTTTTATGTTATACATTTTAAACATTAAATTTTACTATTTATTTTGTAGGTACTTGCATGGTTAGAAATGTTAGAATCTAATGATGAGCATTGAATATTGTTGAAAATTAGGAACGAAATTCTCACTTAATTGCGCATAACATAAATAGTGCCAACTAATCTGAATTATCTACTAATGAGTAATGTGTATTCAATATACGCAGTATAAAACTATGTACGGTGATTAAACACATATTAAAAACGTTTTAAGGACAAGTCGTAGAATACTGTATACCAAACATAAGGTTTTCATATAGGTAGTCAAAGGAAACGTTTCGGCGCCATACAGTTGAACCTTTTTACAGGTCTGTAATAGAAACGTGTCTAATTAACTGGTTCATAAATCTTGACGACATAAAATGGCCCAAATTTGTTTTTCATGTGGACCGCACGTCGCACAGTGTGGTATCAGATTTCAAATTGAAGTTTTTGACCAGCGCTCGTATTTCACAGTCAGAAATTATTTCACATTAAAATACACCACTCAAATGGTCAAATATTACACGTTGAAATTGTACAGATTAACTAATTCTAGAAATTTAGTTTTATATTCCTACATACTATATTTAATATGATAKACATGCTTTAAAATGGACTGTGAAATTAAAACTGCATATTATTGTCCATTTGATTTTTACAATATTATAGTATTAATCTACCTCGTAATATTAGGCACTTTTTCAAATAAATTATCAACTATTTTAATATTTTAATATAGTTTCATTTAGTTGATAATTTTGACAACAAAAGTATSTTTCAAGTATGTACAAAGTCCTTTTGGCTTTTTATTCCATTTATGATAAGTAATTAAAAAAAAATAAGCAATTAATTTAAAAAAAATATTAGGTAAATAATTTAATATGTTGGTTCTTAAAATTTATATATGTTATTAAAATTAAATAAAAAAGATAAATTATTAATTAATCTTATGGGGAAATACACATAATTGTAAAATTTAGTAGTATTGTCTCCACTAACTTATCCAGAAATATCAGGAAAATAAAAATTGTGTGTTTTAACTATCACATTATAAGCTATGTAAAAGTTATATATTTTTAACATAAAGGGGCATTGTGGACATGGATGTTAGTTAAAACCCCAACCAAAATACTCCGTCAACTCCTTGTAAAAAAAGGCTAAGTAAAAAAATAAATAAATATAAATGTTATAAAATATGTGATATAAGGTGGAATCTAAGTAAATGGCCAAAATGAGTAATTGATTCAAATTTAATAAAAATTGGTTATTTATATTAATATATGAAATGAACTTTTTTAACTATAAAATTGATCCAAATTTAGTTTATTTGACTGGAAGATTCAGTCTAAAAATTTATAGCCAAGTACTAACTTGATGTAATAAATAATGCAGACCCTGTGAAAATAAATAAATTTTTTTTCGGCCAAGTAAACTAAATTTGGATAAATTTTAGTTAAAATAATTCATATTATAAATTAATACGAATAACCAATTTTCATTAAATTTGAATTAATTACTTGTATATACATTTTACACATTAGACCATTTACATAAATTTCACCTTGTATCACACATTTCATAGCATTTATATTTATTATTTTTACTAAGCTTTTTTTTACACGGAGTTGACAGAGTGTTTTTGTTAGAATATCATAARTTTTTATAAATTATCATATTTAATAACATRTTGTATTAAATACGTCTGTCGTAATTGTTTACCCCGTGCCCCCCTAGGTTTAAAGGCTAGATAATTTTAGATTTTGATGTAAGTAAAAAATCTTAAGGTTTTACAATGATGTTCATTTTTTTACTACTTCCTGTACCGTGTTAATACTGCACGGTTTAATAGTAGTACTATTACTACTTTTAACCACGTACTTAGACTGAGTAGAATCCTGATATTTTTTTTCCACATAGCTCGCGCCTTTTGGATTTTAGTTACCATTTTTAATGTAGACAAAACACGACAAGCTCGAACGCCGAACCCGAGACGAAAATACGGAATGCATCGATTACCGATAGTGAACCATGTCCATGTGTTAGTGTGATGTATGTGTCTAGTGGAGGAGGTAAGCATTAATAGTGGGACGAGGTACGCCGTCGTCACAAGAATCCCCATCACCCATCCCCGACAACTTGACGCGTTTAATACGGCAGCCGGCGGCGAAAGTAATATAAAATGATGACTAAAATATCCACAGTTTTTTGCTCATKACTACAAAAATATTCTACCGATTCCAATCGAATGCATCAAATTAGACTGGAAATTATAAAAGCACATAGCCTATGGTTGTCTCGATCGATTGATACCTCATTCTAGGTAACGATTTGATTCATTTATTAGACCTACAGCCTTTAATAAAGAATACCAAAATATTAAAACGTATTAAATGGGAATGTTTAGGTTTCTGTATATGTACACGATCGAGAGCTTCGTCTTCTTTTTTTTCTTACTAAGTTCTAACACCTGGTTATTATTTAAGTTTTGTTGATATTTAGATATAAATTATATTTTTAATAATATTTTACAAACAATTTGACAAATAATCAATTTTTTCCCATGAAAAAGCTATGCATAATTCAATTTAAAATAATAATTATGATATTTATTACTTGCCTTGACATAATATATCATAATAATTATAAAAATAATAGTTTATACAACATAATGAATTTCTACTACATAGTACAGAATTCAAGAACCTATTCGTAGAAAAGGTCGATTCCTTTTAAAAATTTACTAATCCATGATGTTCAGWGAACCGCACAGGTTGTTTGGTCCAAGAACCCTWTTTTTTGTAGTCATGCATTCTCTACCCCTGGTATAGACGTATAGTACTACAAAACTTTTATTTGTGTATATGTAATTGCATATGCGACAAGGCGTCAAACATTCAACTAAAATATAAGTCAACGACTGGTAAAGATGCAATTCTAAAATAATATTTTAGTCATAAGTTAACATTCACATAGTTCATACAATATTATGTAATCAAAAACAAATTAAATTTTATGTAAAAAGTAAAAACTATTTTTATTTTTATTAAAAATAAAAATTAATTAATATACAATCTGTATTAGAAATATAAATATGAAAATAATTATATAAACTTAATTTTGAGACATTGATCAGGGTAATTGTCGAGTGATATGATCTGTTGGATGAGTGTCGCTAAGCAAACTAGACTGCAGTGGTTTTAATCAAAAAGATCATGACACCAAAGTAAACTACCTTAAACACTAAATTTACTTCACAATATCCTTACAACTTAATTTGTATATTATAATAATACAAATCTGTAAAGCCTAACAATGAAACAATTAAGCAGAAATGAATACTCTCTTTATCACTTAATTTTATTTTTTATCAATATGCTATAATAAATTATTATTACCTATTACCAGTAAAATATTTGACTTTTACTTACAATAGTTTATTGAATTAATTAGAACCCGTACTGTATAATTGTATTTAGAACGTATACTATTATAAACGTAGTATTTTACTATAAGTCTATAAATGTATACAATTAACAATATGCACAATTTATAACAATTTAAGCATRATATGAATCGTATAATAATTAATAGTTAATTATAGATGTTGAAAAAAGTTTGTGAATAATAAACATTTAAAAACAATATACATACAATACAAATAGATATTGAAATCTCAACATCACAACCATAAACTACAAAATATCTTACATTGCTGTACATTATTATTGCACCTGACAGAGCTAGTTTTATTTTACGGAAAAATAGTAAGCGCATCTACCTAAACAAATTTAATAATTTGTATTCATATTTAAACACTGGTGACTGGTAAGTTTATTTATTTTTCTGTCAATTTAAATAGAATATATTAAAGTTAAATTATAATATTTTCAAAATTCCTGACTCATCATAAAACATGGTAAAACATTTTACRCGATAAAAGTAGAGTTACTCATAATAATTATTATGCAGAAATTCATCTGAATTGAACGAAAAAAATTATACAAATTTTTAAATTATGCAGTTATATAGTATTACAAGGTATACGGTATACTTTTAAATCAATACCTACACTTGGAAGATAATTGAATCAATTTTATTTTGACTTTATAAAATAAATAATTATTAATTAATTATTAGTTACTATGATGTATTATGTTAAAATAAAAAAACATACCTGATGAGCCAATTTAGTAATGTCAACTGGTGTGATACGTTTGCTAGCCGCCAGCCGTTCCAACCGTTCTTTGGCTTCATCTTCAATTCCGATGAAGAAGGCATCATGAACTTGACCTAGATCAGAACCTGCCGAGTCTATGCTGGTGGTAACGACTAAATGATAACAAACAAACAAAAATGATAACATTTATATTTGACGAGCTCAGTAAGTTGTATATCCATTTAATTAAACTTGTTATTTTTAATTTAATGCTGATTGCCAAAACCCGTACTTTTGTGACTTTACAATTAAACCGGTTTCCGCTATCATGGAGAAGTAATTGATACCGGCCATCGTCCCGGAGAAACTTAGGTTTCCTTATGACCTACTCTCTAACACGTACTATTTCTTTAGAATAATTGTTACTAATAAACTAAAA